TTCCCATTATAATCTACTTTTCCACTACCCCATAATGAATGATGTGCATTAAAATCTCCACACCAAATAACATTTCCTTTCATATCTATCTCTTCAAGTTTACTTACCTCAAGCTTTTTACAAGGATTGTAAAAATTTAGAATCAACAGTACCTTCTCTTCCACCCATATTTCAGTTGCAACATACTCCAAATCTCCTTTTCTTCCAATAACTTTATACGGAATACCTTCTTTAATCAGAGAAAGACACCCTCCCCCATTTCCTTCTTCTCTATCATATCTAACTGCAATATATCCATCTAATTTGAAATCCAAAAAAGGCCTCAGCCAAGTTTCCTGTATACAAATTATATCAGGTTTTTCTTTTAATTCATAAATAAACTGTTTAAAATCTTGCCCATTTGACAAAAGACTCCTTGCATTCCATTGTAAGATTGAGACTATCCTTCTTGACTTGCCTGACTACACAGTTCTCCCCTTATGTCTTTCCACCGAATATTCTTTAAGACTAAACTATGGCATGCTGCCTTTACAATAATCTGAATCCTTTCTGTTTTTGTTTTCACATCCGATGTTGCATTTATAACTCCTGCAATAAAAGTCACCATTTTCTTTTTTTCCTCTTCAATTTTCTTTTCAACCATTTCCATAATTCTTGAGATTACTTGCTTTTCTCCTGTTAGAGATTTCCCATTTTGTTTTTCTCTCTCAACTACTTTACACGCTTCTGCATATGTTACTTTCTGCGTAACTTTCATTTTCTGTATAATTGATTGTAGTTTCATTACTTCGCATCCCCAAAAAGCGACACTATGCTCTCCTCCACAACTACAGCACTTTGGTTTAACTCCAACTCCACATTTACCATATTCATGGTCTCCAGAACAATGGGCACATCTCCTTTTTCCTTTACACATTTTTGCAATATGGCCAAATTCCTGACAGTTGAAGCACCTCACTGGTTTGGGCACATATTCCCTGACACTAAATCTTATCAAGCCAAAGAAAACCTCCCTTGGCATTTCTTTTGTTTCAAACTCCAGCAACACAGTTTCTGTTTCAATCTTCTCTGTACCCCTTGTCATTTTTCGTGCTCCTTTTACTTCCTTGTTTCTTTCTTTCAGATTCTCAACTAAGTCCTTCATGTTAACACTCAACGGCACTCCTGTTATAATTCCTTTGCTTTCATTATTTCTTTTTTCACCCACTTTAACAACTGCTCTAATTTTGACTTTACACACCCATCCAAGCTTTTTCGCCTTTTCAACCTGACCTTCAGAATTACAGCCAATCAAAAGATTTCCGTCTCTCAGTATTTTAGCATGTTTAATTTTCCCAAAATGTGTCTTAAGTGCTTTTGTTAGTTTAAGTGGATCAATCTTCTTGACTCCTTCTCCTTCATCAAATCTTATTATAATGTTCAGGTTTGGTCTTTTTGGCGCTTCTTTTCCTTCCTCAGTTCCTTCATTATCGGTGTCTTCAGTGCTTTCCTCATTTCCTTTTTTTCCTCTTTCTTTCAGCAGCTCGCTGCTTCTTTCCACCCTTTCCCACCAATTCCCACTCTTTATCTTCATTCCGACCACTCCTTCCTTCCTCGTCACTACAATCCATACTACTACAGTCACTTCTTTCTAAATCCAACGTCGTCATGTTCCGATTTATGTCCCATTTATCACCAAAGTTCAGATCCACAATTTTCTGTCTTCGTCAAATGCCTCTTCCTCCTTTCAGGCATCCCTTCCCCAGACCAAACAATAGGCCCCACCCTATTTTAAAAACTCAAATCCCACAAAATCTCACAGGATTTCATACTTAGGCCTGGAGTGGTGGGTAGGATGAAAATAATACAAAAGGAGACATGACCTCAATTATTAAAAATATCCGTTTTGCCCCAAAATAACCAGGATTACTATGGGCACAAAACAATGCCCTTATTTTTCAATAAACACATTTAAGATCAAAGTAATATTGAAAAACTTACCATAAAACTGCTCAGAAGAGAATTCAATTCAGAAGCCAGTTGCAAACAAGCCAGTAGCAAAGTGGCTGTTTGGTTGGGACAAACCACTAGTGTAAAAACAGGGAGGTGGACTGTACAACTCCTAGTAGAGACTTGTAGATGTTTTTGTGTCAACACATTATGCACAGTCAGTAATAATATTTACAGACAAGTAAGAAAATGTACAGAAAGGAATCACAACCCACTGTTCTCAACATGTGCTTAATTTGAAACATGATTAACCCCCACTTAGTAATAAAATGTTCTGACCCAGAGCTCAAGGAGGGGGGGAGGGAAGAAGGGATGAGAGGGGGTAAAGAGGAGAAGGTTGGGAGGAGCAGCTGGGTGGGGGAGGTTTGGGAGGGAGTAGGGGGAGATGAGGAGGTGATGAGGGCTGCAACAAACTGCCCAGATTGCACACAATGGTAAATCAACGTTGAATTATAGTCAGAATGGTTGATTTTTGGTTGAGGTCGACAACTGATGGTGGATCAACCATCAAACAATCATCCAGCTCTAGCCAAGTAACCAATGTTGAAGCTGTGCCATTGAATCAATGTTGTTTTGTGGTTGAAACCTAATGAATGAAATGCTGATGTGTGATCAACGTCTGATCAATGTTGAATCAATGTATGCTGTTTTGCCGCACCCCTTCCCCTCCTCTTCTCCTCATCAGAGCTCTGGGTCAGAGCATTTTATTAGTGAGCGGGGGTTATTACATTTTAAATTAACCTCTGTAAAGGATAGTGGGTGATGATTCATTTCTGTATATTTTCTTACTTTTTCATAAAAAGGCCTGACTGTTTGTGTGTGATATATTGACACAAAAACATCTACAACTTACTACAAGGAGTGGAGCGGTCCACAACCTGCTGTTTATATTGAGGCGTAGATGGGGCCAGGTGAGGGGTAGGCGGTGGGGGGAAAGAGGTGTGTGTGTGTCTTTGGCGGGTGGAGGGAAGGGGGTTGGTTGTTTGAATGGCGGGTGGTGGTGGAGGG